CGCAAAATATTGCTAGAATTTTAGCTTTTTTAAGGTTGTTCAGCTCCAATGCATGGTCCTCGAACCGCCCTAATAGCTTATCAGACGTTTTGAAAGTTGCTAATGTGTTCTTCCACAGTAATTAGCCTGCTTGCAACTTTTGGGATGACACAAAGCACCAAAATAAAAGTGAATTTTAAATTAGTTTGTAACTGTGATCAAACTAAAAAAATTCACTGGGCATCATCCACTTATAACTATGTAAAGTGGAGAATTGCACAAAGTTTTGGAAGTGAACTATGAAACCTATTTGGGAATTCTTGCCACAGGTTCACTCCGATGAAATAAAATTATCCTCTTTGCACAAAAATGAGCTTCCACTTGGTATTTGGATTTCATGCGCGAAACCCTGTTCGTGTTACTAGTATTACTAATTCGGCCAGTTAATAAAGCATTGCTGGCTTTTCTACCCACTTTTGGGTACACCAATAAATTTCTTCAAATATCTTTTGCAAAAAGCAAATATTACGCGCAATTATAGGACAGACGTTGTTGAGCATACCTTGTTATAATTCATCGGTGGCTTCAACTGATGGTCGTGGCAAGAATAGGAATTTGAAAGCCTGGGGTATTCCTAAGGTTGGTGTTGTTTTCTCGGTGCCGTTTAGGTGCCAACACTCAAAACTTGTATTAAAATATATTTGGGATTTGTTAGTATTCTCAAATTTTTACAAATTTGCTCCGTTTTGAAATAGAGATGGCTGATAATTCGTCGTTGCTATCAACTTCGACTCCAGTACATGCACGCGTTGTTATTAAGACCCAGCCAAACTTTAATAGCTTCAGCAGTCTTATACAGAATGATACTCCAAAGGCGAAAGTTGAGTCTCAACCTGATCTCTCTGTGGCTCAACGAACTAGAGCCCTATTTAATATAATCTCCCGACCGCCCCTTCTTTGTGCTCCCAGCTTTGGCATAGAACTTCCTTTCGAATCAGTTACCAAAGCGAAGAGCGCAGATTTGGAAAAGGCTTCTAAAGAACTTAAAGATCTTGCCTGTGCTGACCTCTGTCTGCTTTCTGTTGATGGTCTATTGGATGGTTTGTACGTCGCAAGGAACGCCGTAGAACACCTCTACGATGAATGTGAAACATTGCAGGCAAAGGAACACAGCGATTCAATGGCAGCCACTCTTAATGTTTTGGACTTTTTTCTCAACCGAGGTAGATTTCATTATCCTCTGCTCTCTTTGCTTTGATGTTGATATTTGAACACTGTGATATCTTTCAGTTGACCCAATTCTGCGTAAACTAATCGATCTCCGAGTTTCGATGAATGACTTTACTCTGGGCGAAATAATCGGCCGCGGTGCTTGTGGTGTCGTTCGTGTAGTGCATGAGAAAACCCCTCCGCATTCCGTTCTTGCTATGAAATCGCAGTTTAAAGGATCCTGGCTTTTTCACGATCCGGTAGTTTTTCTTTTTTACTAGCCTCCATTCTACTCGGTGAAGTTGATAGTCTTCATTGCTCCTTTTTAATACAGGAGGGAGCTCAGCTTTTGCTAGAACGTACTGTTTTAGCTCAAGCCATGATGATCGATAATCCCTGGCTGCCTCATCTTCACTATGCCTTTCAAGATGAGAGTCAGTTGCACCTGGTCATGGACTACGAGCCCGGTGGCGATATGTACATATTTCTTAGCAAGTGAGTGTTGTTTACCGTCTCGACAGCTGAATGGTATCCTTTGTTCCGTATTGTTTGCTCTGTTCTTTTAGAGCTGCTCATCTACTCGACTCAGAAATGATTCAGTTTTACGCCGCCGAAGTAGTTGAGGCCACCCATTCGCTGCATCAGATGGGCTATATCCACTGGTGAGTTTCATAGACTTCTAGACTGTCACTTTTATCCTCTCTTTGTAGCGATATCAAGCCTGAAAACTTCGCTATTGAACGTAGTGGTCATCTCAAGCTGATTGATTTCGGCTCTGCCATTCGGCTGGATTCTAATGGAAAGGTAAGTTACGCACACTTCATTCCCCTTTTTCTGCTCCCTGTGGCATACTGGATTACTGTTTTGTAGTGTGTTTGTCCTACAATGGTCGGCACAAAGGAGTACCTCAACATTGAACTCCTAACCCAACGCAAGCGAGGTGCAAAGGATTCCCTCCGTGTTGGCCCCTGCTATGACTACTGGGCCATTGGGGTTTTTATCTACGAGATGTTCTACACGCAGACGCCCTTCTATGACGAGAATGATGACAAGATGATGGATAATATTATCAATTTCAAGACCGCATTGCATTTTCCCCATAATGTGAACGTGCCTGATGCCGCCAAGGATCTCATTCGCCAACTCATCTGTGATCCCAGCGAGCGGCTGACCTATGAAGGCATTGTTCAGCACCCCTTTTTTCAAGATGTCGACTTCGCCACCATTAGGGAACGTGAGTTTTCATCGCTGTTTTTCATTATTTTAAGAAGTATGCAGATTGTGTTGCGTAGATGTCTTTGATTACGGGTATTCTTATTGACTTATGGTTCTTCATAGTCTGTCCGCCTGTTTTCTTCACTCCCTTTGAATCAACCTTGTACTTGTGAGGTGGTCAACAGAATGCTTGGGTTTTAAGTTGTCCATTATTAGCTCTTGTTTTTCGCTTTCGTGCACGGAGATCGTTGCAATTAGACCTCAAATTGTAATATGGGTGGTAGCAAAGGTGTATATCTTGGCGTTTAGTAAAAATTAGCGAACGCGACGTGATTGCAAGTTTCTTCACCATTTATTTCCAGCTGCCTTCCATTATCTGCTTGACCCTATTGTGTGCTCATTTGTAAATGAATTACTCCGCATGGTGATTACTAGAGCGAACAGTAATCAGGATTGCAACCTTCCCCCAATAATTTTTTGTACCAGATTTGTCTCGTTTGCAGAGTATCATTCCTTTATCCCTCCGCCAATTATCATCTGTTTTGAGTATCTTTTTCTGATTCAAAACGACAAATTCGTACTTTACGATCTTTTTGGCAGAAGTGACTTGCGCTCCATCAAACAAGCTGTTAGGTTCTGTTCGCAATTTACTTCATTTATCATTCATGTCAATCGAATTTTAGAAGGTCGTCCTCACTGGAACTTTTACTAATTCGTTTATCTCTCGATGAAGTCGACCATCGCGCGTAAAGTCACTCTTGCTTTTCCTTTTCCATTGATTATCGTGTTGCTTTGAATGTCATTCTTGTTGGCTATTCAACATCACGATTCACAATGGTGATTTCATTCCCAGACAAACCTTGAGTTTTGACCGAAGATTCTTCTTCGTTCAACACAGCCTGTTCGATCATGGATCGTTACTTTTAACTATCAATCCTACTAATTGAGTATTGGCAAGTTATGTTTGTTGAAGTTCTAGTCTATTTTATTCTTTCCAAAGTTATTCATCGGTCCGTTGTCTCTAAATCGACTACATTATTCAAAGTTGATAATTTTTGCAGCTGCAATCCCTTCATCCTCTTGCATTACCCTCCCCCCAATTAATGCTGTCATTTACTGGGATCGGCAAACACCTAACTGATGCTTTGGACCAATCGCATGTGCCCCAACTCCTTCATTGCAGACACACCGCCCTACCTGCCACCAGTAGGTCAACTCGACGATGTCGGTAACTTCTCTGGTGGTGGAGCCCGCGCCCGCGACGATGCCCTCCACGACATTTCTAACGACGTGACGATCTCCCCCTCCCGTGGCCTCTACCCCACCCCACAACGCGTCAACCAGCTCCAGAGGCTTTCCAATCTCGAGAATGTTGATCCACAGTCAGCGAAGGAGATCCAACGCCGAGCCATCATCGAGGCTGCCGCGGTGCCTCTCACCGAGGAAGTGCAGGAGGTGGAGGATATCGCTTGGCAGGGACCGGCTTACGCCGCCGATCTGCCCTTTGTCGGCTTCTCGTTCACCCCCACAATGCTTATTGGCGAGTCACAGTGTCGTCAAAGGCAGCTTCGTGCTCTGTGAGTTGTCTACTCCCCCTTCCCTTTCATGAAGGTAATTCAAATCAAATCAGGACTTTTTGTGTATCCAAAAGAGGGATAAAGGCTACGTCTGCTTTTTGAATTGTTTCTCTGCTGCATTTACGTGCCACATATTCCAATATTTACCTGCTGTTTGGAGAACTCAGACGTGGAATGGCCGTAGCATCCCAGGATAGTTGGCTTCAATTCACCTGTCTTGGTACCCAATGTATGCTTCTTTTCAGAACTTAAAATTTTAGTAAACCGTCGTGTCGTGTTTATCGTTTCCATAGAAAGGTTCTTCTGTTATTTAATTTTATTGTGCGACAAATCAGGATCAGCCGCTCTACGCGAATGACGGCGGGGCTAAGATCGTCACCAAAAAGTCGCGTTTGAAACGTTCATACCGCCCATGTGTCTTAGTGTGACCGAGTACTCTATTATCGTACGGAGCTTGAGGTCTTCTGAGTGAGTACATATCTACAAGTTCGGATATCACACTTCCGTTCATAGGGAACTTTGCCATCTTGATTGACGGTGTCCAGACTGGTCTGGCCTGCGACTACTGTACCATCATCGGGGCAGCATTCAATTTTATTGTGTACCAATAGAATTTGGGCTTGAAAGTCCATTCTATGTGGTGCAATCTGGTGTAATTAAGTTATTTTCTTGTGCTTACAGGATTGACAACTCAACGATGGTGCAGAGTCGTTTGAGCATTCTGGAGGCCTCGACCATTGGGGAGGAGGCCATGGCGAAGATTATGGAGGTGAAGCGGCGCAATCGATTCTTGGAAAAGCAGATCACGCTTCAGGAGGATGAAATTCAGGCGAGTGGCATTATATTCTTTGGATGTTCTCATGTGAGGCTGCGTTTCTTACACTGCCTGTCTTTTTACAGAACTTGCGGAAGAGGCTGCAAACATCTGTCTTTGAAGCTGAGATTCTGACTGATCTGGATAGCGTTGTAAATAACAGCATTAAGCAGCAGTCAGAGGAAAGGTGGTTTATTCTTTTCACTTAGCTTTTTGTTGTTTGACATTATGGCTTCTAGTGAACTTTTCATAATAGATTAAATTACTTCGGTAATAAAATGGATTTATCATCTAAGGCAAAGGACTTTTGCAAAACTGTGATGTTTTTAGCATTCAGCGCTTTTAAAAGGATGGGTTTTCTTCATTTTATAAACGTTTGGCTCTGTTAATTTTCCCCTCTTGATAGTCAATCTTTTCAAGTGTATTACCAAAGAAGAAAGCTTTTGGGTTTAACTTTATTAATGTGCAAAATTGCACTATTTTTTTCAATTTAGACAAGAGGTATTGAAACTGGAGGCACGAGTGAACGCTCTGACTCTGGAGAAGGCCAAGCTGGTTGAAGAGTTGAGCGAGACACGCAAGTGTCTGTTAGACTTTAACAGCCTCAAAGATCTACTGGTTTGTTTCTCCTCTTCACTGACAATATTCCCCCATGGGGGAGACTAGTAGTTTCTATCGTTTGTCCGACTTGTAGAACTCGGTCGATAGAAAAGCCGTGGACGAAGCGCATTCGTTGAAGGTTAAGCTCGATCAGGCGGACGAGAACAGTCGTCTTCAATCAGAAGAGGTTGGTCATTCCTTCTTTTTTTTTCTAAGACTAAAGGAGTCATGCGATTTTATGCTCTGTGCTGCTTGTGACCCAGTTAACGCAGGTGCGGCAGCAGCTGGAGCGTCTGCGTAACTCCAACACGAAGTTGGTGGCAGAACGCGACGCGGCGATCGCACGTGCGGTGAAGGCGGAGGAGAGTGCAGCTGCGCAGGCGGATGAGGCGGAGGCGGCGAGGGTGGCAGCGAATAACGAGGTACTTCGCCTCACCACCACTACCGAGCAGCAGGGAAAACTCATCAATCACCTTCTCAATCTCCTGCCTGCCGAGCGGCGAAAGACTGTCAGTGGAGGGAACGGGGGTCCTGCCACCGAGTTGATCGATGCCGCCACTCCGCAAACCTTACCTTCCCAGCCGCCCATAGGTCAGGTGCCGGGCGGAGTGTTCGTGCGTTCCCGTTCGCGATGGCTGGGAGGGCGAACCAAACCCTCGACTGGACATTCAGCTCTTTTTCTTAAAACTCGCAGTATGTTGAAGGGGAAGAAAACCACTGCTGGCACATCGGTGGCTGGTGCCGGTGCGCATAAGTTCTCACTTGCCCTGATCGGTGATGCGATAGACGTCAAAAAGAGGTGGGTTCTCTTTTCTTCTGGATGTGATGAAAGGTGGTAGTTTTTTCGAGAAGAAGTTCTTGTGGAACTGGGGCGCATATTCCTTTCCATCTTTTTTGTTCCGCGTCATTCACTGTCTAACATGATGAGGGATTGGCCGACGAATGTTCTGTTTCTTACATCTTGCTGGTCTTTCATCCTCTTGAGTACTTGTTTGGTCACATACGAAATTGGTTTTTTTCTAATTGAGCATTCAATTTCCTTAGCGAATATCAAAATTTTTCACTGAAAATTCATTCTAGATGCAGTATTGTTGTTCATTAACGATAAGGAGGGCTATTTTTTTCTGGTCTCTGAAGGTCATCACGTTGCACTTTTAACTGGATCTTTCTGTTACTTTTAGCGCAGTCTTCAAGTCCATGATCGGCTTAGGTTCAACACAACGCGATTACGAGGACAATGGTAATCATCCACATCCATCAACTTCCCGCTCCCGCGTACCGCCACCCAAGCGTCGCATGGCTGCTTGGGTTCGCACTCTCTCCACCCTTCGCTCCAAGAAGCTTCTCCATAACGCCACCACGGAGACTGCTAAGCGTTCTCGTTCCCACCTCCCCGACTCCAATGCTTTCACTGAGGACGACGTCGATGCTGACACTGGAGGTGTCTACATGGGTGATGATATGTCGTTAGAGTATCCCCCACTGGAGGCAGACTATATTGTTTCTGACGTCGACTACATGCGCGGCTCAGCCTCCACGCTATCCTCACTCCGCTCCTCCAGTTTGCAAAGTCTGCCAGAAACAGCCTGTCGAGTTATGTGGCCGGAGCAGTACATTGTTCCTCAGGTGCAGAAATCGGGGACTGCTGCAATCGTGTGTTATTCTTCTCCATTTCCTGCACTGTAACCTTTCTTGATTTGCTAACTCATGTATATTTTGTAATTTTTTAGGCTACAGGACAAAAATCGAAGGAGGTGGGGCTATTTTCTGTGTTTGGTTTGCCTAAAATAGTTTTCCTTGAGGTTCTGAATTGCAGTTTTTTTTCCTTTTCCCAGCCTCATCCTTTTTTGCTGAAACAGATCAGCCGTGTACTGGGCAAAGGGAAGGCAAAGGCCGGGGAGGAGTGACATGAAGGAGGCGGGCGTGAAGTTCAACTGGCAACAATTTGAAACAAAAAAAAGACTGTAAAATACTTGCAAACTGCTGTTGTCGCCTATGTGTTTGGATGGTTACCTTATAATAATTTTTGTAATTTATATACTTGTGTTATTATTACTACTACTACTACTGTGAAAGACTGCCTTTCTACTTCTTGACACACATCCACATTTTAATGCAATATGAGGTTGTGTAATGCGTTCAAATTTGTTTCTTCTTTTTCAGTCCCATTTGTGTGTTCTTTTGCAGTCCTTTTTCTTTCTCCAAACTGGGACACTTGCCGTGGATTAAAAGTGGTAGTAAATTTTACCGGTCTTTTCATTTTGCACTAGATACTGCCAACGTTGTTGTGGTATCCGAGGCCTCGTTGAGGAAGTAATGTGGCCCACTAGTATGAAAGTAAGGAAGTGCTGACGGCTGAGTTGGGGTCGTGAGGTCCGCGTTGCTCATTGTGATTGGTTGCCATTGGCACAATGTTCTCCAGTACGGAGTTGGGTGGAGAACCGCTACTTTGTAATAAGGCGAGAGGGAGGAGGAGCAGGAACGTTCGATTCCAGTGTCAGCGGCGATTCTCGTTGGTGCTGGTGGAACTTTGTGAAGCCAATCGATATGTGTAGGGACATTGCTTTGAGCGGAGCTATTCAAGTAATTTTACAGCGCCGATACCATTTATTCACCAAATTCGCGCTATCATGTAACCATCTTGGTTCAACGAAGGGGTTTTGAAATCGCTCATGCAGAATAGAGGAATGGTGTGATTGACAAAAGCGGACGTGGCTTTGATGGTTCTCTCGTCGTGAGCCTCCACAAGTTCGAGTGGCCATGGTACGTTGAAGTTCGACCTCTGAATGTTGAATTGGGGGTTTTTGGGTATTCAGGTCTGGCTTGTTCATCACGTCCTGAGTCGACTCAGCGTACGGAAGGGGTGGTGGGCTATTAACACGGACAGATGGTGACCGGAGCCCACGGAAAGTGAAGAGGCCCTGCAGTCAATATCGCAAATAAAGCAGGTCCTTATGTCAAGAGTCAACATAGTTCGAGAAGAGAAACATATTGCCATCTTATAATTCGAGTTGAAAGGCCGTGGAGATGTCCAGATGCTTAAGTATGCAGCACGGTGAAAAAGAGGACTTGAAGGTATCTCAAGCCATCGATATGCGACAGTGTTTTTGATTTCCTTGATGTAAATCACACAAAGGTACAAAGTAATGTAATTTTAGAGGAGGAAAAGGTCGGCTTGTATTTTTTGATGAGGATCATGCGAGTCGCAGTAGACAAGTGGACAGATAAAATCAACTCCTGCACAGGTGGTCATCACGAGGAGGGTGATATCGTTGCATGACCTTAGTTGTGATGTTGATGGTAGTGGGTCAGGGGTCGCATTTATCGTAAATGCTCATCTCGATGACCACGTGGCTGCTTAAATCAGACAATCCCACAGCCTACCGACCGACCACACTGGCTGCTGACTGATCAATGTTTTACTTTCCAATTGTTACAATCTGATGAAATTTGTGAGTGCATGGATTAAACCATGGAACACTTGAATTCTTTTTCAATTGTCAATCTTTGTAATGGCCAATTAGGGAGTCCTCCATTGCACCTCTACCGGGCTTCCTCACCCTCGCGCTGCACTAGCAGCCCGGCAATACGTATTCTCACCAAGTATTACGTCTTCTTTCACCTTCAGGGATGTCTTTATGCGCTACATGTATATGATTATTTTATGATGCTAAATCTGTTAACTTGTCATTAAAAATTTGGAAATTATTCCAATGTTTAAAGTTTTATCAATCATGATACATCACGTGATCACTAATACTAAAAATACAATTCCATTGTAATACTTTTGTTGTTCAAATGTTCTTTGCAGGGAGTAGGTGGGTAGACCAATGGAATCTGGTAATGGGGAAGTGGTCAACATCTGACAACCCAGATTTGAGTTCTACGTCCAGAACTCCCTAAACTTGTACCCACTACCCCATTTACTTCAAGTAATAAACCTGAAAAAGTTAAATTAGCCTGGGTCTTCTTAGGGCTGAAATCCAGGGAAGAGGGGATTATCGAGAACCTCCATGAACTGTAAGATATTAAAGTTCTTCGATCACAACCCTAAACAGTAGTACCTTTATACAAGTCCTTATACGTAGTGAAAAAATGTCACTTATTATCACTGCAAAATTCTAAATGCAATGTAATTCATTGTATCTAACGGATTTCCTGATTTTATAGTTTTAGGGGTTGTTGTCTGTTGTTTAAGACTTGCCTGCGGATTTTAAATACTTGACGGTAAATTTAAAATGAAGAAGCCTTATTAATATTTTAGTGACTCCTGTCTATTTGATTTAAGACGTCGCGTTAGTCATTTCATTAGTTTAAAGCGCGTGGTTTGGTTGCCTTAGAGGATGAAAAGGTCGAGCTGTCGTTTGAAGGCTTTATCAGGAAATCAAATGATTTTGGATTTTGGGCAGAAAAATTTTGGCGCGAGACGCTGCAAAGAATGCTCAATGCTCTATGTTGTTGGAGATATGGAAGACCTAAAGGCGCATGCTCGGTTCCACGCAAGCTACTTGAGTCCAGAAATAAAGGTAGTTTATCCACTCTCGTGCTTGTTTTCCGTTGCTTTCTATGTGATCATTTCACACCTTAAGTATGGATATATTTGTTGCACAAAGCCTTATTGGTTTAATGCATCTGGCTATCTTGTGTATCATCGCGGCTTTATGCTGCACGTTCGTCGTTGTTTTCGTTTGTTCCCCCTAGATTTGTCCATTTATTTACTACTTTTATGCACTTCCTTGAAACATGTCTACGACAATTAACCTGTGACATATTTGTCTAGTACTTATGCAATTGTATGGCCGTTACCTCACAAACGTTTCACTTGTGATTAGGCTGCTTATATCAAGTTCTGGACTTATATTTCCGGACCAATTTATTAATTTATGATTTCTGATACTAGGTTTCTCGCTGGCAAAATCAGGTAATCCTGGAGGACTTCTTCGACGGTTCCCGCGTAATTGAGATCTCCCTAGCCGACCGTATGGGCCTTCAACTCTATACTAAAGTAGCTTCCTTCATGAACCGCGATCTGGGTCAAGATTGCCCTCAAGGTGGGGTCAACACAATTCCCCACCTCCCATCCTACATGCGAATTTTTATCTTCATCGAGGGTGAAAAGAAAACCGCTGTTGGATGCTGCATTGCCGAGGAACTCACCTCTACCACCGTGGCTCAACGCGGTTACCAAATACGACGTCTTGTAGGTGGTCTTCGCTCCCTCCTCTCGTGGCGCGTTCAGAATCCTCTTGCTGTATGGACCGAGCCGGTGGAAGGAAGCAATAACAACAGCAACATCGACCGAATTACTTTTCCCCTGTGCGGCATTCGGCGGCTGTGGGTGGCATCGAAGCATAGACGACGCGGTGTAGGAACCGTTTTGGTTGAAAGTCTGCTGAAGCACCTCGTCTACCTCACACACTTACCACGATCTAATGTCGCTTTTGCGGAACCCACTGCTAGTGGAGCTGAATTCGCTGTCAGATTTGTTGGTCGGGAGGATTTTATTGTCTACTGACAGCGTCTTTACTACCTCGTCTTTGTGCAGATTTTACACCTTTTGAGCTCGCTGTATGGTTAGTTGTGAACTTAATCTCCTGTGTGATGTTTGGTCGGCTACAGAGGTAGTCGGTAATACTTGTTCTTTTTTATGCCGATTTTGTTAGAAATAACTGTTGAGATCAGTTAATTCAAACGGTCTTTAATGCTTTTGGTCGCTTCGTTATAAATTTTTCAGCTCTGTCAACGCACCGTACTACTGTTGAATCAAAATAGAACAAAAGTAGTATAAGGGCATGGAAATGCTGGAGAGCTGTCGGCCTTTGAGTTTGTGGGAGACGTATTTTTTTTCTGCAGGCTTCGTTTCATAAAAGGGGTAACAACAGGATGTCTTGGATTATTATCTTGTTAAAATGATTAAAATGTTAAAATGATCTCTAATCCTCTTTTAAAAAACGCAGGCTTGATATGCCCACTTTCAAAAAATTCGTCGTCTATAAAAGCAGAAAATCTAGCTTTAGTCTTTGTAAAAGTGGTGCACCTATTTCTTATTTGTACGTCATCAGAGTCAGATTGTTCAAACGATTCTTAAGTTGATTGTTCTCCAAATGCCGCGCCGCGATTTACACGAGAAGTTTCTGCAAACTTGGAGCCGAGTTAGTCGCAGGCCAGCTCGAATCACATCCAGGGCTCAACGTAGGAGAATAACAGGGAGTGCGTCGTGGAGTATCCCACCGATGGATTGGCACATCTATTCTGCCGTATGTTGGAAGCACGTGCCGCAGTTCAGCCCGTCAGTACATTGTTATGGTTGACAGTCGACGGTGTGGGTGCTTTCGTGTACCGTACAGTGTGTGGTGAAGGAGTTGTTTAACTCACTATCCATTTTTGCAAGGTGGTGATGGCACGCCTAGACGTGTGCCTGTCATTCCTGTCATGGTTCGGCGAGTAGAACGCCTGACTGGTTAACGGACAGCCGAGGGACGAATCCTACGATGGGAACAGCAAAAACAATCGTTCACTAACATTTGCGACCTCCATAAGTTAGTCCACGATGTATGTCAGGACGTCCATGAAGGAGTTGCCGCGCTGACCTGAGTCAACACTGGTCAGAAGGACCTGGGTTTCCCGAGTCGTACCATGAAATGTTGCAGGATGTGAATGTATTTGAATTACTTCTACCCATTCAGATCCCTAGAAGAGTACCCCAGAATGAAGCAGACTTCCCCAGGGCGGCTCAGCCGCACTGATACACCCTGCCGATGGTGAGGCTTCGTAGGCGCCAATTAAACGCTGCGATTGGAATGCGCAATTTCCGCTCTCTGGAATTGGTTCTTCCACTTCACTTGAAAAAAAGGTTTCTGACGACCGAAAAACCCTCTACTACTTCCATGATCGTATCACTTATTAGCGCCTTCAAAGATAACCCGGACCGCAGAGTAGGTCCATGACCTTTTAAAAAGTCGAAGTTCACTGTATGTAGGTTTACTAAAAAGCATATTTTTTTAGAGTAAATAGCATGCGTAAAAAACGCAGACGCCTCTTTTATGTGCAGATAAATATCGCAATGGTCAAGTAATGGTAAAAAAATTTTGATGGAGAGTGGTTTATGTACAAAGAGGGCGGTGGGGGTGGGGGGTGCACGTAGAGCAATCATCCCTACGACTCGCGTTCCTTTGATTTCAAATAAGACATGGCCATGTTGATCTTCTGCTCCTACAAGTAAAACCATAAGAAGTCTATTAAGGGGGAGAGGGACAGCGGAGCAGTCGTGCAAGCAAACGGTTTAAGGCAAACATGAGGTTATTGAAACACTTTCTGGAATGTGACTATCTCTTGGTTTATCGCTGCCAACCCAAATCGCGGGCGTGTTTTGTCAGCCATAAAAGGAACGCGAGTGGCTCTGTCAGACAGAGATACACCACCACATTTCTAAACCTAGGTTAGAGGTGAGGTGCGCGGAAGACTGGAACTAGTCGCAATAATTGAGCATCATGTTCATTTTAGTTTGGCAGACTATAGCTGAGTATGGGTATAGAAGTAAACAGATGAAGCGGTGAAAGTTCGACGACATCACCAGAAATCACCCAGTAGGTGCCCTTTCCAGTATTTTGACAACAAATATGAGCAACGGGGTGCTTGTTTTTGGCATCATTTCTTAAAAACTACTTTTAGGGCGTGACGACTAGCCTTCATCAACGATCAAACAACACAGTGTCAGGTCAGTCTATCTGCCAAGCAATACTGGAGATAGCAGAAAGAAGTAGAAAGTGAGTCCTTTCGTACAGAAATTAAAAAGCGCCCTCCTGAATGGGTGAACGGCGAATGGATAGGAGCAGTAAGGCCTACCACCTTTTGGGTTGGTGCAATTAAATTAGAAATGAGTACCCACAAAATCGTTTTAGCAAAACCTAAGAGACTGTGAATGGGTCATAGACAATGAAAAAATCACCATACATTCACATATCCACCCATTCACCCATATGCCAATATACTGACAGGGAGGCAAAGGATAACGCAGCGAGTGTACGATTACATCGAAAGGACGGTCGACTCCACCTTGATAGCATTGGTGATGGCCTCAATGTCGGCACGAATGTCCTCCTCGTCCAGTTCGTAGACGAGACGGGGGAAGGAGGGTGAGAGGGCGACGGGTTTGCGTCGTGGCTCAAGGTCTACACCCGGCAGATAGTTGGGATTCAACACCACCGACGCCGTCAAGTCGTCTCCCTTACCCTCTGCCTCATCCTCCTCCTCCATCCCCTCTGCTTCCCCCCTCCTTGTCTCCCTTTCCTCGTCATCGTCTAGTCCAGGCACCAGCAATGCTGCTACCTCTGCCGATGGTTTCAAGGTGGTCGACGGCGATGTCGAGCAATGATCGTGGTAGTGGTGGTGAGAGTGCCCCAAGCCCGCATTCTGTTGACGTAGTGGCTCATCTCGCGGGGGGCCTGGAAGACAGAAATTTCTGTATGAAGATGCCTCTACTTGCTGTTAGACATGTATACCAGGAATATTGAAGTGAAACTGTACCTTTAAGTTTGAAAAAGAAACCAATTCCAAGGAATGAAAATCTCGTCTATTTACTACATAATCCCTTGTTACATGTAAGCAGTCCAGCGTTTAACCATGTCTGAGCCATTCCTAAGGCGCATGCGTTAATAATAACTGATTACCCTTCCCGCCTGTACTAAAGAATCCGTCTCCTGCATAATTTTGAGTGAATGAATAAACGAATGGTGTAAGCTGGAACAAATACAGCCAGGATTGTGACAGGCAGAAGTTGAGCCGTTTTGAAAAGCTTACGCCATTCAAATGTCTCACTTACTACGGCTCATACTATTTGAATTACATTGCAGACAGCTCGTCTGTCAGTTAAATATTCCTACGAATAGGGATTGACGTATAAAATGGTCCCGTCGTTAAACTCAAGTTGAGTGAATGCACGATGCCCTGATAGTCGAAAAGGAGTTACATCTCCGGGTTGCAACATCAAAATAACCGACTGTGCAGCGAAAACGTATAGTTAATAATGCAAAGGTATGTTTTACGACAAGAATATCGCTCTAAAACGTCCCTTTTGAAGAACGCACCATGTATTATCAATTTGCTGTGGTTACAGATGACTGAGATGTTTAAGGTGAGTGAACTGAAGGTAATTGTACCGGGAATCAGATGCTGTGGTGGGGAGGATTCAAAATCGACAAACCCAAAAAAGGCTAAACGAAGTACTAGAGTCATAAAACTACACAGGTGGACGGGTATGCCAAAAAATTAATGGCGTAAATAGTGCTTAAATTACAACAACCGACCGCAAGAGGCAAGACGGGCAGCTTGCATCGCGATTGGTCAATGAATACCGCTAGCCTGACCAATCAAAATATCACCCGCACAAACAATTGCACTGCTGACATCCTCGCAATCAGTAGACATGTCTGTGCCGTAAATTGATGCGTCCTTCATGGCCCGAGGGGCAAGCACAGACGGTCCATCCAAATCAGTAATAAACCTTTGCATCTACCATTTCCCCCATCCCTTTTCCCTCAGCACTAATCGCAAATTAAATCAGTAAATGTGTGTAAGCGTTAGAGGCACTCACCCCCGCCAGAAACACCATGAGCCTTAAGCGTTTGACGCGTGCGTTTGGCCATGGCTCGTTCCACCTGGATGCCACAAATTCCCTCCTGAATGCGCAGACGGACGCGCTCCTCGGTGGTGCGCAAATTCTCCTCCGCGTCGTAGGTGGTCATCTGAAGGGCATTGTCAAACTCCTTGTTTGCCACCTCCAGCTCAAAGTCACGTCGGTGTTTCGCCACCTATGCAGCAACAGAAGGAAGACATGAAGAAGTTCCGAAGTCTCCCTTCCGATTGTTCAGACACTGAACAACTTAGGGGGAGTGAATGATCAAGGGAGCGATAATGCAACCATCCATGGTAGTTTATAGACTTGGGTATTTCACCAAGAAGAACAAGCCCATCGACTGCCATCGTTCAAAAGTCCATGACTGTAGTGGGAAGCCGGTGCCCTAATTTTCATATAATGAATACCCAAATTTATGATCACCGTGGCATACAGTCGAACATGCCATATGAATGGCTTCATTAACATCCCAGATGTAATGTGTTTACAGAAGCAGTAAAAAGTTCTCAAACTCATGCTTCACGCTCTCCTACTAAGAGGTACTCTTTGCCATGAAAGTGTCCAAAAGTGATGCGAAATTCCAGGTCACGGGGATAAATGGGTTACCGATGAAGGGTGCCTAGGTATCTTCCTGGTGCTAGATCACACACCTTTGGGATTGGTTTGTGGGGCGGTTGGAGTTGTTTCAAAACCTGCAAACCTATTTCTCTTATGCAGCTTAAGCAATTAAAGTTTACGAGGTGCACAGCTTTTATCCAAAGGCATCTCCACGAGTGGTGCCAACGCACTTTGTTAATAAGTACGAAAATAAGATGGAGGTTGTGCAAGACCTTGAATATTGTAGCATCACACTTAAACACATCACTTTGATATTGCCATTCGCATTCTCGGTTTTTACACTTACTGCTGCATTAGAATTTGCGTTGCCCCACACCTGATCGTGTATTCTACCCCTTGATAAATAAGATTGACAAAACAGGCAGCAGCGATAGGATCCATTGAGATAAGTAGTTTCCGTATGTCAATAGCATCATTTTGATAGTGGCACAAACGGTGGTACGAAGGATTGCAGCAGCCCAAAGGAAAAAAAGCAATCGCATTTCCTTGCGACAAATCAAATGAAACAGGGATGCATCAAGATCTCCGTAACCTTGAAGCGCAACGAAGGTAATTTTCATCTAGGGGAAACACGACTGAAGAAGGAATATCGGCTGGTGCGAAGCTATTCATCAATTAATGACCTCATGACCTTTGGCTAAAACAGGACGAAAGTAAGAGTCGATTCACAAACGAAAAACCATGGGCTACACAAAGCCTGTATAAGTTTGATGCTTCCTACTGAGTTAATGTCGATAATGCTGGAATAATTGAGCGCACTACTACCAGATTTCAGACCTTGAGTACGTCTACAAGACAACCGTAATTTGACACACGAATGTGCGTGTGAAGCTTAACAAGTTGAAGGCACAGCTGCAACAAGTTAACAAGAGTAAAAAAGGTCGATGCAAACCTTTTTTCGAATGCTATAAGTCTCATCCACCAATTCGAAAACCTTGAGGAGTTCGGGCGCTTCGGAGGCACGTAGTTGCTGCAATTTGCGGTCTACCTGGGCGATGCGCTCCGCAAAAAGGGCTTCCTTGATCTGTTTAAACTCCCATTCCAACTCCGCGATCTCGTGAATGAGTTCGCGCTTCACTGATTCCAGGGCCGGCTCGGGAATGGCCTCCACAGCCAGCAAATCGGCTTCTGCTTCAGCGTCCATCTTCATATCACCGTCACCACCGACGCTGCTGCCGGGTACTGTATCTGATTTTGCTGAAGTTGTTGGTTGCTCATCCTCTGCTGTTTTGGTTGTGGCGCTCATAATGACGCTAGGAGGAAGGAAAATTATGCTGAAGTGACTGATAAACTACCTAGAGCATTGCTCTCCACAGAAAAGGGAGGACGTTCAACTTCCATAATTGTTTGTTTGGGGATGGATTAGGCAAAGGGTAGACGGAAAAGCCGGTACTGACTTAGAGCCACAAGACAACCGTTAAAACATGAATAATAGAATTGAAAAAAGATGAGGCGATGTTAGGTGACAAGCCGGTTCTAATCAAATGCATTACAAAACAAATAAATCCCGCATGATGAGGCCGGAAAGAAGAGATGACGAATTGGTTTAATATTCATAGAATGGAGGTAAGAGATTTGGCTCTACTTACATAAGTTGTGGAACGGCTACCTAAAAATGGCAGCGAAGTGAATGATCTTGGATGTGGACTACACTGTCCTTTCTGGACGGTTCATTAGAAAGAAACAGAGAACCTGGAATTCAAGTGCAAATAAGTAAACGACGGAATAACCACTGAGGTGGTCATGATGAGACCGGAAGCAGAAAGTGAGATGTTGATGGACCGGGTAAGGAAAAGTTGCGATTCAAGTCACGTACACAAGTAAGCTGATTAAAACTAAACGATATGATTATTAACTCAAGTGATGCAAAATCAATCTAACTGACCAAAGCCAACCTCATTGCTCAGTTCAAGTTTGCAAAACATCAATCAGAGGAGAGATGGCACGAGTGGAAAGATAGCTAAGGAATAAGATTTCAGCAGAGCAAATTGTGGAGCAGCCACTAGAGTGAAATGATAACGATGAGCAAAGCCAATTGATAGTGAGTTGACTGACGGGCAAATAAAGCGCTCTTGAGGGGAAATTCAGGATCTAAAAACGCCCACCTTGCGAAGTTTACACTCTAGAAATGTGTCGCACTTCCATTATTCGCTTACATCAGTCGTCTAAAATGATGACATTTAATTAACCAACTAGGCGATAACGACATGAGCACTCCTGGCTAGGTTGCATAAATGTAAATTGGCTTAAAGTGGATTTTAGTTAGTAGGTAGAACAACTAAGGAAAAATAAAGCACTCAGCCCATAACAGCGACATTTATGCCGGGAAGGTAGATCGAACATCGCTTCTTAATCATTTATTCGTCTGATATGAACAAGCAAAGCTAAGCAAACCCAACTTTAGGAAATGTGTACTATCAGCGAAGAAACAGGATACTCATGTCGGCACAGCCATGGAAGTGGATTCGCGAACGTGGGTTGAAAGAAGTTTGTTCTGATTACATGAGAGATGGAATAGCAATAAAGTAAAATTGATGCTGAGTTGAGTGATGGACCAGTTAATGCGTTTTCTGCAAAAGGAATGAGGAATTTTACTTAAGTTACACAGGGGTTAAAGTAAAGATAGGTAGCACAAAGAAACTTCTGGTTGGAAGCGCTGATTTTAACCGAAAAGTTGCAAGGTGGCCACTAAAGCATGCATGGTAATGCTAAAAATTAGTTCTATGTAAAAAAAGTAAGTGGTTCAATCCTGATTTACTGTAGTGGATTACATGTCTCTCAGCAAGAAATTACACATAGCTTGAATAGGCCATAGTTTTTAGTGAATGAAAAACACGGTAAATACCAAAGCACCCATGGTGGGATTCGTGGGAGGATTAAGTCACACAGAACTGACACCTGAGCTGGGGAAACAAATGGCTCAAATAGATCGTGTCTCGTCTTAATTAAGTCTGCTACTGCTTGATGAAGTCCACGACAAACGTTAAATCACTCAGGGTGGTGTGGTGAGACGTGAAGTGACACCAAATCGAACGTCGGACAGAATAGAGCATTCATATCCGCATAACTTCAGGCGAGCGAATAAGAGACTGATATTCTTTGCAAAAATCACCACCCTGCCAGCCGATTATATGTCTACAATCATTTGAACTGATATTTTATCCCTCATTTTCACTCCATAATTGCCAAATCCACCAAAGGTAGATAAACACCCAACTAAATGGGATACATCATAACTCCAACAGCGTATTGAAATTTGTCTCAAAGACTAAATACGAAATACTGATTTCAAAAAAAAATATTTAAAAAGATCAAATCAAACTATAGTATTTTGACTATGATAGAAGGCGTACACAACCAGAGGACCTAATTTGGCTTAGAAATGAAGCAGTTGCACACTTGAAATAAAGACCACACTAAGAAGGTTTAACGACGACTGAGATTCAGATATATGACAAAACTACTAACTGAAAGGTCAAACAGAGTGAGGGGAGCCGTGGGCATCCAGCATAGAAATATGGTTTCCGAAGCTAAAATGAACACAGCATCCCTAATTAAGTACCCAAAGGCAAAACATGGGAAATAGTAGAAAAATGCAATACCTAAACAAGGAAACCCTTTTCAAATCCACAAGCAGGCTCACAACCTTCAACAAAATAGCCTAGCTTTACTTCAACTAACATCTGCTCAAAATTAAAGCACGATGAAAGGAAAAACTACCAATATTACTAAATTTGAGAATCAACTGGTGAGCAGGGTAAGAATTATAGGAAGCAATTCGAAACATCAAGACGAACTACACCTACATACAATCCCAATTAAGTGTGAGAAGATAGGTTAGCAGAGGTCACGGGTTTAAGGCCACAGCTGCATCATTAGCATTTGTTTTAGTGTAAAATTTTATTTATTTTACATAATATCTTTTTGCAACATTTAAAAATAATAAATATTTGCTGACTAAGAGGGTTTTCTGGCACTTTTATACTCACTGTAAAATCGGACATCGCAGATTTCTAAACCAATCATTGTGCTGGTCTTCACTTGACCCGTGAAAATACGTTGTTTGTCGTTGGGAGCTTTTAGGCAATTGGTAATGTACGTATATTTGCCTCTAATAAGCCTCACTGAAGGTATCTCTTATGATGCATCTGATAAGTGTCAAATAGGCTCTCACTTTTGATCTCTAACACTAGGCTATGTTCTAGTTCTGCCAGCCTTTTTGTATCTGAAGGTGCACGCATTTTCGCCACTCATATCCCATTCCTAGTTCTTCTGTCGATACATGGGTCTGCCATTTTCAATAAAGCAAGTTTTTAAGTATGATATGGCTTTTTAACATTATTTTTATATCGCCATAGTAGTTGTTGCCTGTCGGGTTTTAGAGTTTGCCTAACTTTGTTACCGTTTTTGAATAAATCTGTTCCACAGAAATCATGATGCGTGGGCTCGAGGGCTCCCCGCCCGAATTAACCATTGAGGATATGGCAACATTTCGACGCTGCCGTAAAGAGTCCTTCTGGCGCCGTTGCGTCCCTATGATCATGGGCGCTTCCCTTGCAGTCAGTTTTGCGCAATCTCGAGGTTTTTTTAACAACCGTCCCCGCCTTGTCATGCCCAGCTACCTCATAGCGGGTGTGATTGGCTACGTGGGTGGAAAGATAAGTTACATTGATCGCTGCAAACGCATGTTCCTCGAGTTGCAGGACAGCCGTGTAAAGGACTTCCTCCTCGGCCATCAGCCCTCCCTCCCCCTGCCTCGGAGACCTGACTTCTCAATCGAACACGACTGGCCGAGGTCAGAGGGAGATCCACTTGTCGTGCGGACACCCACTACTTACGCTGAGAGGCGGGAATATTACCGTCAACAGGAGCAGCGGCGGCGGGCTGAAGGGTTACGTGATTCGTCAACTCCGTCGGCTCCTCCTGATGACCAGAAGAAAGTCCAAGAATCTTCGCAACAACAGGTTTCATCGAAATCCTCGTCTTCGGAGTACTTTGATACGGAGCGCCCTTTGAGCTCATTCCTCTCGGATGATGAGTATAGGCCGAGGGATTAGGTGTGTTGTTGTCGGTGATGGAAAGTCACCCGCTTATTTTGCAATGAGAACAGTCGAAGATATTAGCTTTAATAAAACATTAATATGATGCGAAACTTTGTGTGCGATTCGGCTGCATTATTTGGTTGTGTGCTTTGCAACCGGTAGTTAGTTTGGAGCTTATGAGGGTGGGCCTGGATTGAACACTGTTATTTCACCTAATAAGTTCATGTCAAAATTTGCTACATTGCTTAATATAGTTCCAGTGACTGATGTACTAGATTTAGTTGATCAAAGTCTTGTTTCCAAATGTTTTAATAAAATCGCAAAGAATGCTTAGTTTTTCAAGTGAGAAATGGGTGGATGCGGTTGTGTCTTAAGTAGAAGAGTCATGTTCATTCTCGTCCAGAAAAGAAGAATGGTGGGTACTGTGTTTGGGAGTGTCAGTGTTACCTCCTACGTATCTGTTCTAAATTTTGCCGTGGTTTAGGGAATTCTGGGTAAGTCTGTAGTAAATCAAATTGATGGTTGGTTCCTTTAGAGTGCTGCATCGATATATAAGTTCCGTAAACTTCCACCAACAGTAGTCTGTAGTTTGCTAATAGCCGCTGTTAAATCGGTGAGAGTTAAGAGTCGATGGTTCCCTTTTAACCGGTTCAGCGTTTTTCGAGCGATTTTATTTCGAGTCGGAGTAAAAGCTGTTGATATCTTAGTGGAATAATGAATGTCAGGCCCATTCGTATTGCAAACCAGAAAGTAAATGTTATCAAATTGGGATAGTACTCAAGGTGGACTCTTTACGACAGCAATGGATGATTTCCGGTAAAGGTGTCTAATTGTTGTTTATCCCACCATCTTGCCTAATTACTGTAGTCTTGGGTAAATGTTGTCGACGATGACCAACTTAGCTGGATCAGTCGTTGTCTAATCATTGCAATTGGTTGTGGGTTATGACCACCGCAACTGATTTCTATTACTTTCCTCATTGATGATGAACCTGTTGATTTAAACCGGACTTCATTTCCCCCAGTATATTTATGAGCCTTGATTAAACCGATTTTGGAAAATTTTATGCCAATTTACCAACTGTCTTTAGTGTTTCAAATCTTCCTGGTACCCTCTGACTTTGTGCGCGAGTATTATTGTGTACAGATAGCAGTATTTCGATCCACTGGCGCAGTATTCGTCATCCACGTCCGTTCTGTTTCTTTGGTATTTCGGACTCCCAGTAATATCTGTTGAATCCAACACGTTTGAATCAACTCAATCACTCCCCATACTACAACTTTGAGATCCACCAATTTCTCCTGTCGGGACTGTGTGCGCGTGTTACAATCGCAACTGTTCACTTGCTGAAGATCAAACACAACAGCCGCAACTGAAATTTATTCATTCACCCGGTTCAAGCAGTGAATGTATCAACTAGAAGAAAGTCCCATTCGCGTGTGACAGCGAAGCAATTAGCCATCTAATATGAGAGGGCGATAACGCTCCTCCACCTCCCCTACTCCCCGTTCGCCTAATTATAACTCCCTAAGTAATTATTATCTCCTCTTTCTGAGATCAGAGAGGGGTCACATGTAAGTTGAGTGGACACTTGGAGGCGTCCAGGGCGGTGTCTGTTTAAGCCTAGATAAAAAACATACTACAAAAGTGGGATTCGCTAACACATTTCTCGTTGGGAAAGAAATATAGATATCTAGTGATCGTTACTCCAAAGAAAAAGAGGTAATTAAAGAGGCCCCTTACTACTTTAGAAGGGTGGATGTACCCTCTGTCTTTTCAATTTTGCATTTAAAGCGATGCAAAAGCCCTCCTTTTCATACTCACCGCCAAGGTGGATGTCAGTGGGCTAATAAACAAGACTGCCAATCCATGAGAGGTTGGATTTTGGGTTAGTAAAGCGAGATATCATACATCGATAGGTCTCTTCTTTGTCTACCTCGTTGCTTAATTACATATAAGTAGTTGCTTTTCCGACATCTTTTCGTAGCCGAAATTGGCGAATGTATAAAGCCAGCTGATCAAGTCATAACCTTTCAGTCTGACCTACAAACTTGCCCCGATAAACACATACTCATTGATGGATTGGAATGCTGATTGCGCAAACGAAGTGCTCGCATTCGTTTTGTGTGACTCTTGTCAAGCAGGCTATGTACAGCGTCACGAGACGTTTCGCATGCCAACTGTCGGCACAATGTTTGCTGTCAGCAATACATGCACTTCTGCCGCAAGATCACAACCACCTGCCCAACTAATGGCCACGTGGAGGGGAATCGGAAAGCAATTTTGCCGGGGAAGTGATCGTGGATGCCCTAGTTGGCGTCGCTTTTTTATCTCATTTCTACTACGATCCAGATAATTGGCAGCACTTTTGAATCCCTTCTTTACAATTGAATTGCATGGTGAATAACGAACCTTTGCTCCTCGATTTCTCCCATATTCAGAGATATTAGGTTATTCAATTGAGCCTTTGAAAACACCTTCTTTGGTAATGAAAAGACGTTCATTGAAGTTTTTTGAGTAACTGTGAATAGCGAGTTGTTTGCAATAGCACTTTGTGCCGTTAACTGTTCAAAAAACTATCTTCTTAAAAGAAAGTCTCAAATCGGTTATTCGCGTCTGACCTTTGTCTAAACAAAAAAGCAGGTTGACTGAGTTTAAGGTAATAAATTAGACAGGTAGACACCACTTAAATTGTTCAGCTATGTAGTGCGAGTGATGATGTCGCGGATTAGGGGGACAGAACGTCTCGTCTGCAGTGGTCTTTTCTCCTCTCCAAGCGGACGTGTTAGTCAGTGTCAATGACCGACGCTTGACCTTAGGAGGAGGCGAAACTCAGAATTAGCAACCTCAGGCACAGGCATCACCACAGGTTCTTGATTAGTCTCGGCAGTACCCCCAGTTTTGTGTACTTTTTGGCTCCTCCTGGACCCCGTGCATGAGTATAGAGTTAGCTGTGCTGTTTCCTGCAATCTGACCTGACCTTAAACTAACAGTTGTCGTTCCAGCTAATACACACTCAACGACTAGTTACAGGGAAAGTAAAACGTCCGCCTCAACGAAAATTGCAAATATGAATCTATGGATTGTGCTTGCTCAACCACCAATGCGAAGCTGCATCGAAAAGTTGGAATACTACTTATTGATAGCCATTGGTACCGATAGTCGCATAAAACTTCCACTAAAAGAAGATTCTGCATTTCCGACGAAGAAACTGAAATGTGAAACGCGATGACTGTTGAGTGACTTGTCATTCGGGTACGGTTCCGTCGAATTTTGGAAAGCCCCAGCCTTGTAGAAACGTAAAAGCCGTCTGAAACATTTGATTTGTGAGTACTAGCAACCACTGTTGCCCACAATTTTGAGCCCTCAAAACGAGCTGGCAAGCTGTTTCACCGACCCGGTCATCATCAACACTTTGACCTCAAAATTTTTTAACCAATACCAACAAGCAAATCTCCATAACCACGAACCGAATGTGATGAACCTAACCCTGAGTACGCCCTTAACCAGAACCAGATATACTGGAGCCTTTCTGGGTAGTCTACCCTGTTACCGTACAGCACACCACCAAATGCTACACAGCAAATTATGTGCAAGGGTGGTTTCCGCAACTCTGGAACCGAGGCTAAGTCAGTTCATGAAGAAGAGAAGCCAGGGCCACATCCATCAAACTCAATCAACCCATTATATGGGCTTAAAAATAGCAAAAAAAGGAATGGAGAGAAAAAATATAGACGCCATGCCGATAATCGAGTCCATCACATATGTGTCCTATAAAGCATGTGCTTAAACAAGTCTCGGCACTCATTAGGTGACAACAAATTAGAACAACCTTTTGCAAACAGACAGACCGGAAAACGCACAAAATTTTATGGCCACATAAAATGCCTGCTTCACGTAACACGAGTCAAGCCACAATAGCCTGTGTTATATTTTGTCTTGGTAGAAAACTTCAAAGAGTAGTGAAGGTCAAATAGTACTTTGTGTTTATTAACTTGAAAAACTGTAGCAAATAAAATATTTTCGTTAGTGGTATTGTCCATTTAATTAATAAACAATGCTTCTCCCCAAAATTCCCAATAAAACCATTTAATATAAATTTCATCTTATTTATTAAGAATAAAAAATGCCAGCCTACACTCTTGATAACAATTTCAGCCAGCACATATCCATTCGAAGTTAAGCAATTAAATACGGACGGCTGTGACTACCTTATTTATCTTTAAAGCTTGCCGGAGAAGGAAGATAGTCGTCTTCTTGCGCGCAAAACTGAAGATTTTTAAATAGTGCTTACTTAAAACTGAACCAGTAACTATTTTTAAAGGGGTATGTTGGCGAAAATCTGCTATTTTATATTAGGGGTCCATGAATCGCCTGTGACTGCACTGTCATTACCTTCAAAAATGGCATAAGCACAATTATTAATTCACCTGGGGGGTAAATTCACTAACTGCGGGACTTCGTGTGAAAATACAGTCCTGGTTTCGAACTTGTGTGCAAAAAATCGGTGTCACTATTTTGGAGATAAATATTATCTCAGTCAAGTCACTCCAAAGTGGTTTAAAGGCTTGTTTAAATCGCTTTAACTCTGCCATATGATTAAGCATTGGGGTATTTTTGCCTTGTTGAGTTGCAAGGTTTGTGCAATTTCCTGTTTTGGCAACAAACCTACAGAAAATACTGAGTCCTCGTTTTATGGGCTGTTGGGCATATAGTCGTCTCAAAATGTCCTCACGTATATCCCGTCCATTATATATTACTGAATAGAGTATAAATGAGGTTTCACCAAAGTCGTTCCTTACAATGAAGCGGTGGCACATGGCTGCACTTGGGCATTTGCAGGCTGTCAGCTGCTTTGAAGGATTTGGAACTTTTTGAATTGCCGGGATAGTACTTCTGGGCGGATCAATAAGACTAAAAGGCCATTTGGCCAATTTGCCCAAGAATTGGATCATTCATACTTCTTCCCAAAGGCTCTTGTATTTTGTGAAATGAGATAAGATTTTACTCGAACA